AGTAATAGAATGATCGTGTTGAAGAAGAAAGGCTCACCCCCTTTATATAGGGGTGAGATACCTGACCTAGGGCTGCCCGGATTTGGTGAGCTGTCTGCCCTAACTGCCCGTTCATACACACAATACGCGTGTGTCAGAGGTAGCCGTCGCCACTATCGCCTGCCCCAATACTCTTTGGACGCGTGTCCTCCTGCACATGGGGTAGGCTGTCAGAGGTGGTTAGTGCTATCAACCACAACATTCTCGACACGTGTCCCCCCTGCACATGAGGTAAATATTCTCCTGAAATTCGGCTAGAGGCTCTCCCACGCGCCTGTGACTGGGCCGATCATTGTAGCGTTAAGTCCTCGAAGTGGTCAATTGCTCGATCACTTATCTGCTCGAGCCATAGACTGGTCGACTGTTTGACTGCTCGATCTTCCTGCCACTTGGTTCGGTTACGTCTTCTTCGACCGGTTGGGTAGACCGGTTTAGTCTGGTAGGTATGATATCCTATATCAATATAATAAAATTATTATTGTTGTTATAATATTTGCATTTCACATTTTATCTGGCAGTGCATAAACGTGTAATAATATTAGAAAATCTGCAGTCCGAGATTTTTTAGGTGCAATTTCAAAGTAAAACCGAACTTAACTAATGGGTCATTCGATTGGTTAATCGAATTAACCGATATGGTTAAAATACTTTATTATTTATTATAATAAAAGAGTTTATTATTTTAGTATTTTTATAATTTTTTTTGGTTAAAATAATATAATATATATGTTTAATAAAATACATATGTTTTTTTCATAACGCACTTACGCACCTAGAATCTTTATTAATATTCTCAGCATGTTTTGTTGCTTTAATATCATGTTTAATATTTTTTAATTGACTTACTATTTTACAAATTTGACTCAGGGGTGAAACTGAAATTTAACAAAATCTATGAAATTGATAAGAGGTCCCTAAAACATATCAAATTCTCACAAGAAACTCCACTCTCAAATTGATTTCAGACGCTTTTTCCTGCGAATCGACAGTTACCGATGTTTGTCAAGGTCGTACCGTTGTCTGGAGACCTGTTCGCAGGTAGTCTTTACTCAGACAGAGGCGACACACCTGGAGCCCTGTGGCATAGGAAGCCAGTGGCTGCTTAGGAAGGCGATGGTCTCTGCGTGTGGGGTCGGAGGCGAGCAGCGGTGTCACAAGCTTGAACATTGTGCGTGTGTCAGAGACGGCGGTGTCGCAGCAGCGAAGTTGCAGCGGCGAGCATCGGCATTATTGTAGTGGCGATCGGCGACGGTTTGCAGTAGAGACGCCGAATATCAGAGGTGAGGCTGCGACGACAAACTGAAGGTGATGCGGCGGTGGCTAAGGGGATGGTCGGAGGAGGGACTGTTGGAGGAGTAGGTGAGGAAAAGTGAGTAGATGGCGGCGGTGAGAGCGGCGTTGTGGGGATTCCGGCGCAGGGGGAAGTGGGGGGAGATGGAGGCGGGGCGGCGGCATTGGTGGTGAAGGTGGTGGCTGACTGTGTGTGTGTGTGTTGGAGGACGTGCGTATTGGTGTGTGTGGTGGTGTGTGTCTGAGTGATTGAGACTTGGCAGGTTAATTAAAGTGGAGTGGGTCCACTTCTTTAGGTGTGGTATGCTAAATTATTACATTACCCTTAATGAAGGAATAATTATCGCTTTTTTAAGCCATTAAATCATCTAATCTAATGACTACAACTTATTCTCATTTCTTTCACTAAACACAATTTTTATGTGAACCCAACCCTATATATGTATAACCAAACAGAATATTATAGTCTTTATACTAAAATGAAATATGAGAGAGAGAGACGGAGAGAGAGAGAGAGAGAGAGAGAGAGAGAGTAAATTTTCCCCTTATAATTCATTTGCTTGCAAGAAACTATCAACATATTATTTTAGAACTTTTTCAAAAATAAATCTCCCCGGCTATGGAAGAGCCTCCGATCAATAGCGTATAGGCCCCAGTATCTGGAGTCCGCTGGGTCGTCGGTGCGTATGGGTCCTTTTTTTTATGTTTAGTGTTCAAGGGTGCGGCTCGGCTGCACGGTTGGACTATTTTTCGAGCCCACTGGCAGGTATTCGACGTCTTAGCGGGGGCCTACTCCCCCAACGTGGGAGTTCATATCAGAATCGAGAATCGACTCTTCATCAGATCCGTCTAGGCGACGCGAGTGGCCGTAGTTTTTGGCTTCTTTATGGAGTTTAAGTCTAGTTCATGGAGTTTCATTTGCTTTTGTAGTTGTCTTCCTAATTTTGTACCCTTTAGATTACTTTGGAATTACAATTTACAAGGTTAGGTTTAGTTATTGGGTTTCTTGGTGTAGTTGGTACTCCAAATTATTTTCTAATATTATTAAAAGTGTGTGATGGTTAAAAAAAACAAAACAAAAAGAATAGCACTAGGTGTATACGTGTCCTCTTGTTTTGGAGCCATCATTTTGGATTTTAAATGTTTGGATTGGATTAGACATGGCCACGGGTCGAATTGGCCCGTGGCCCGACCCGCGAACCGGCACCGGCCCGGCCCGATCCAAACCAACTTCTTAAGGGCCGATTCGTTGAACTGGGAATCGTAGGGCCGCGGTTCGGTCCCGGTTCATACACTCTTTATTTTTGACCCGGCGAGCCGGGTCGCGCTGGGTCACTTTTTTTTTTAATTTTTAAGGGCCGTACCGGTCCGGAACCGTCCGAGACCCGCCGGGCTAGTGAACCGGCAGTTCTGGGCCGGTTCATCATATGTTTTTTCAGGCCGGTTACGGGCCATAATGTTGAGGCGACCCGGCACCTGGTCATCTCTAGTTTGGATTATTAAAATGGAATCTATCGAAACACGAAAATAAATGACCCATGGAACTATAATCCAATTTGTATACGCACCATTTCCATTTCTCTTTCCCTCCCAAATCCACAACTCCAATTTGTAGACCGGAATCACTCGGTCTATGGAAGCTTGTACCTCGGACTTGTCGGTTGAGACCTTGTTCCTGGCTGGAATCGTCAAATCACCACCGACGGTGCGATTTCCATCAACCTTGTTCATGTTCTTCTCTTTCTATGTCTGTAAATCATATAATTTTATTTTTGATTGTTAATTGAGTCGATTTGTAGTCTCAAATCTAGATTTTTAAGGTAATAAACACGTTAATTTCATGACAGTTGCAGTTGCGCTAGTGCTAGCTGAAATTGAGACGAACGCACGGGCTGTATTGACATTATTACAACCTCAAAGGTGAGAGTTGGTTCTTGACATTATACTTCTAAATGCCATGAAATAATCGACTTCAAAACATGATCTTTGAATCCATTCCGTGGTTATCAAAAAGATAAAATTTCGTTTTTGGTTTTTGTGTTCTTTGCATACTAGTTTCCATCCACTTGCATTTAATTTCCTCTGATAATTTACCTATTCGATTATTCAGATGACAGACTCGGACCGTGTGTACACTCTGGATGAAGCACTTGATACTGTTGGCTTTGGTAAATACCAGGGCCTTTTACTTGCTTATGGAGCTCTAGGTTGGATTTCAGATGCTATGGAGATGATGATACTCTCATTTGTCGGGTCGGCAGTTGAGTCTGAGTGGGATCTCTCTCCCGGTGAAAAGAGCTTGATATCGACTGTGGTCTTTGCTGGCATGCTGGTTGGAGCATGTTTTTGGGGCATGATATCCGATAGTTATGGTCGAAAGTAAGATGCTTGTCTTATTTTCACATGTTTTGTAGTCTGATCTATGTTTATCTTGATGTAATGTAAAGATTTCATGCTAAATTTTGTTTTCTTTTCATTTCCTTTAAAAAAAAAATCAAGGAAGGGAATTCTGGGTGTGACTACTATTACAGCTGTTGCTGGGCTATTAAGTGCTCTCTCACCAAATTACATATGTTTAATTGTGCTTCGTTGCATGGCTGGAGTTGGTATTGGAGGTATGAGCATAATCAACACGTGGTTTTTGGAATTTGTCCCGGCATTCAATAGAGGTGCCTGGATGATTGTCTTTTCGGGCTTTTGGACAGTTGGGACAATATTTGAGGCTGCTCTTGCTTGGGTATGTCGTTGTCTCATCCTCCATAGAATGATGTCTAGATGATAGACTTTGTGATATCATTTATCCGTCGTTTATTTGTAACATGTTTATTCAGTTCTAAGCCATTTTTGGAAAATGGACTAGGCTTAGCTGAAACCATTGGCTTGTTTGATCTGAAGCAGAAAAACTAAACTAGTAATGAGCAGTGTTCTAGAAGTCACTAGGTGCCCGACCAGCGCCTGAGTCTAGAATTAAGATTAAATACTTTATTATTTTTTTATTTATTTTTACTACCTACAAAATTAGACTGTCGAAACTTATAATAAATCTACACATCTAAGTCCAAATAATTATTATTAATATATTATAAAGAAAACATGATAACAAAATCATGTAATTAGCATTAATTAAAAAAAAAAACCTTGAAAATCGCCGCCGAGCCCGCCTTGTTAGCCAATTTTTTTCAGCCGATTCATGCAAATCGGAGGCGGCCGGCCGACACCTAGGTCGATTTTTAGTACACTGGTTCTGGCTGATCAATTATTATTATTTTTTTCTCCAAAGAATAGAAAGTTATATTAGGAAGATCAAAGCCTTTGGTATTTAGCCATATGTATAATAACTGATAATTTTTCCGGATATATTATATCTAATTGTTTCGTTTCTTATTTAAATGCATACATAACAACCGATCCATTGTATAATATTATTCTAACATAATATTACTTTAAATAATTTAGTTAATCTTCATAAGACTAGTTGCACCTCTGCAAAGATATGTTCTATCAGCAGTTTGGTTTTGGAAATATTTACTTTGAGTCTGGATGCAACAGGTTATTCCTCCTTTTTTTGTCTTGATTACTAGCTGTGTATCCTTTTTTTTATTATTATTATTTTTCTTTTCTTTTGAGTGATAGTTTTTGGAATAATGATGGTTTTGCTGAGCTCCTTTCGGCAGCTAAACAAATTCGCGTGTATACAGATTGGACGAAAAATATCATGAATGATAATATTGTTTATAGTTCATATTAGAGCCTGAAATGGTACTTGATCCTATTGTATATGGAATAGGTTTTGGGTCATTGTTTTGACAAAAAGTTTGTGACATGTCATGTTTAAATTCTAACAATGATGGTATATATATATCCTTGCCCCTATATAATTTCACTTTACCAAATACATGCACTCGGTTTGTTTTATGTAATTTATTTTTTCCTCGCTTCTCAGGTTGTCATGCCCAGATTTGGGTGGAGATGGTTTGTCGCACTTTCATCGGGACCTTCTTTCATTATGGTACTCTTGTATGGATTAATGCCTGAGTCTCCTAGGTTTCTGTGCATGAAAGGAAAAACTAAGGAGGCTTATAGTATTCTGGAAAAAGCAGCATCACTAAATGGAATAACACTCCATGCTGGCGTGCTAGTTTCTGATCAAAATGGTGATAAAGAGTTTGCGGCATCCGAAAATTGTCATTTGCTTTCCCCAAGAACAAATAAAACATACATATCCAGTTTCTCGTTACTATGTGCACTTTTTTCTCCAAAATTAATAAAAACAAACCTTCTGTTGTGGTTCTTGTATTTTGGAAATACGTTCTCGTATTATGGCATTATATTGCTGACCTCCGAGCTTAGCAGCAATCAAAGTAAATGCAGGTTGGGTGCTTTGAGTATGGTGAAAAGTCTAAACGCGAGCCTTTATGTTGATGTATTTGTTACCAGCTTGGCAGGTAATTCTGAAACGGATGTGATTACATCTTTGATTCTACAAAAATTATTATTACTATTATTAGTGCTTAAGTTGTTTTTATTTTCAGAGGTTCCTGGTCTCGTTTTTGCGGCTTTCATTGTGGACAGATTTGGTCGCAAGCTTTCCATGGCGATCATGTTTGTGTTGTCCGCATTGTTACTTCTTCCATTATTGGCCCATCAGAGTGAGATTTTGACAACAGCTCTACTGTTTGGAGCTCGAGCATTTGTCTCAGCAGCTTTCATTGTTGCCTGTATTTATGCGCCCGAGGTACATATTTCTGTTAAACTTAATGCGGTGAAAATTAGTCCCAATTGTGAAGATATTTAGCACGTCTTTTACGGAATTGTCTGGCGCATTTATATTTTACTTAACGAGAAATTTTTTTGTCACGCAATCGCTTCTGAGTCTCTTTTTTTGATATGGGATGTTAATTTCCTAGTAAATAAAAGACAAGTTTTTACATTCAGAAGAGGTAAGTGCCTTGAGCAAGAAACTTCATAGAGATCAAATGCATTTGTATGTTACAGATGAAATGCATTTGAACACGATTAATTTGGTTTTCAGCTACAGTGGAACATGATCAAAGGCAGAGGGTGCACAAACTAAACTTATACACAATAACAACCCACCTAGTAGCAAAACGAACGATGTGGGAGAAACATAACTTTAGTATGCCAATCAAATGCTATTAATATAATTCCTAATAATATTGCAACATCATACACCTTTGTTTACTGTTTTCGCCTGTATTTGCTTACGTATTGTTTAGCTTCATTTTGATTTGATTGTTGGTTCGACAGGTGTACCCAACTGAGATACGAACGACAGCTGTTGGGACAGCATCAGCTATAGGGAGGGTTGGGGGAATGATATGCCCTCTTGTGGCAGTCGGGTTGGTTAGCGCCTGCCAGCAAGCGTATGCAGTCATACTGTTTCAGGTTATGATACTTTTGTGTGGGCTTTGTATCATGCTAATTCCAATCGAGACGAGTGGGAGGAATTTGGCTTGAACATTAATGTGTGTGGTTGATGGTTTAGTAAGATCACATGTGATTAGTAAGAAAAAAAAAATACAAGTACAAATAAGATGAGTTGCATCATTATAATTTATGTTATGTTATGCGGTTTTTGTGTGGGATGAAGTATATCTTGTTTTAAATTCCGGGGTTTGATATTGATTATTCTTTTTTATTAGGCATCCAGAACATGTAAACAGCAATGGAATTTGTTGGAGGAGAGAAAAATGGAAGAATGAGATTATACATATACTCGACAACCAAAAATTTGAGGAATCTTATGGGTTAAACGTTTGAGCAAATGTACTCTTTATAATACTTATTTGATGAGAAAGATTGAGGGATGTAATCGTGATCTATAATAAAGTCGCCAACTAGAAAAGTTGAACTTAGGAGAACTACGACAACGTAAATTCTAAAATACAATACAAATACTAAAATTAAAACAAAATGCCCAACTTTCATATGGAGAATCAACACTCCAATAATGGAGAGTAACAAGCACATAACTAATCAAAATAAAGCACAAATTATCGGGAACGTTGAGATTATGCAAGTCACGGATTATCTACGAATTAAACTTTAAGCGTCACGGAACTAGAAGGTAAGGTTCAGCGCATACCGTTTTAAATTTTTGTCGACTCAAAAATTTTACTTATTTATGTTGATAGATATCGTTTGAGTCTCGTCGGTGTTCGTCCAATCGCGATTGCTTTGTTGTGCTTCTTGAAGTCCAAGTCGCGTCTCTGATTGCCTAGGGCCTCGTGGAACCACGGCTGGTTGTACCTCGTCGCACAGAGGCTGTCGAACCTGTAACACCCCGTTGTTTTTTAAATGGAAACCACCATGTTTTCATAAATAGTTTGAATTTTTCAAAAATCATTTTTCGATTTGAACAAAAAAAAAAACATTGTTCGGACATTACTCAAAAACCATTTCACTTAGGTCAATTCACATCTGAGTCTTTGAGAACTCATTGCCCAAATTCACATCACAATCACACACCGAGACAAACAAGTACTCAATCAACTATCAATATCAACTAGTTCAATGTTTCAATCCCAAATCACACAATTTTGGAAACATTCAGCGGAAGCAAAATAAGATAGTTTAAAACAATTAGACCACACTTGTCTCGTCATCTCCATGGCACCAACTCAACTTGAAAAGACAGAAATAGGGGTGAGCAAACAACAAGCTCGCTATGGAAAATAATATGTAATATATTCTAAATGATAATTGACAACATAATCGCAACATGAACACAAATCACCGCATCTACCTCATACCCTACCCTAAGCTCACATGTACATATTTTTGCACGGGCCATACCATCAGCAAAATCCATCGACGAGAGATACACTCTCAATAGATCACTGGTTCACACACATACATTGATTATGGACTCAAACTATTATAAAAAATAAAAGCATAGTAAGTTTAACAACACCCACCTCAGTTCTGAAATGATCGGAAACGACAAATGCGATGTGATACAGTAGGTTCGAGGGCTCGACTCTTTGGAAACCTAAAATTAAGAGAAATAATTTTTCAACAACAAATTTATTTCATTTCACTGAAAATTATTTGAAATTCCCTCTTAATAAAAAAATAATGATTAAGTGTTTTTATCCAAATTTTAGTGGAACTTGAAACTCTCGACTTAAGGAGAACGACTCGAAAAAAATTTACGAGGCTAAAAATAAGGTTCGGATCGAAAACATATTGGACGGCTCGAAAAAGAACGAGTGAAAATATAAAAACATGTTGAAAATTGGATAGCTCTTCTATGCGCAATCAATTTATTTTCAATATAACTTTTAATAGAAAACACGATTTAAAGTGATTCTTTTTCAAAAAGATCTCAAGACACTGAACAAAATATTTTTGTTAGACATAAAATACAGACGAGGGCTTTTAAATGATGAAACTACGACCAACACAAGGGCTTTTCTGCTACCAAAAATTTGAACAAACAACTCGTGTGCAATCCTTATATAACAAGCGTAATATTTGATGTAAAAAAAATATTTTGGACTGGTTTTTAGAAATATGGAAATTCAAGTGAAAAAAATTATTATTCGTAAAGATCTTGAATGAATACGAACAAGTTAAAGCGATGAAAACTGGTCAACCTTTAACAACAATCTGCTGCCAACTCTACAGAAAAACTGCTTGCGCGGTGTTCGTATTTCGAACGTAACTTTTTATATAAAACTGATAATTGAATTATTTTTATGCCCTTGGAAACATAAGAGACAAATCTAGAAATATTTTGAAAGACATTAAAAGTGTCAGGTCACAAGAAAAGGTTCAAAATAGCAAAGTAACACAATTTTTTTCGACCAAAATTTTTAAAGAGGACTGACTACGCAACGACCCAACTTTCTTCATAACTTTCGATATAAATATGATAATCACTTGATTATTTTTCTAGATGAAACTTAAGAAACTGAAATCCAGTTTACATGAAGAGTTTCAAATCATTCGATTGAGTTTTAGAGGTCAAAATCAATGACGAAACAGCATACAACACAAAGGTCTCAAACAGGGTTTTCAAGGCTCAACATCACAAGATTTCCACAAAATTAAGGTTCGTTTTCATCCACAAAAAGGCACCAAATGAGAGTTACAAATCCACGTTTTTCCACAAGGGCACAAACAAACAAGATCCAAAATTAAACCATCCACAATCAAAGGATCCCGATTCACCGGAAACGAATTAATTCCAATGACTTAAATGCAAGGACAAAAAGAAGGTCCGTTCAATTTTTACATTCCTTCAGGAATTTGCCCACTCAGTTTGCAACGAATAGAACAAAATAACCGACACTTGACCACTGTTAAGATTTACTCGTGCATGGCTACGCTCGCGAACGGACGGACGCGACTCTCGCGAATAGCTTCTCGGCAATAGCAGCATGAGGACATGGACAGCGGCTCAACGACGGCAGCGCGCGACTATTCTTGGCGACGAACGAGCTACTGCGTATGAGTGGTTGCGGGATGCGAGGGCAGCAGATTAAGGCTTTTGATGGCAAGTTGCAACAGGTGGTCATCGGAATATGGGTCTCTCGACGAGAAACGGATGGTTGCGAGGGGGGAAGGTTCACGTGGTTCTTGCCTCGACAGAGTCTGCGATGTTGGATATTTGGTGTAAAAATACACGGGAATCCTACGAACTGATATGTAATTTTCAGTACTTACAAATAATCTAAAATAGAAAATTACAATTGAAGTGAAAAAATAAATTACAACTGAAAAACGGAAAGATTATAGCTGAGACGAGTAAACTCTTTCCGCAAGAAGAATACGCCCCGTGTGTCAGCTAACGATTCAGGCGTAACTTCCCCAAAGATACAACGGCAAACGTCTCTAAATCTGTAGCACACCAGATTTACGAGCTCCGACAAAGGGGAACAGAGTCGAGATTTGAGCACTTGTAAATAGAATAAAATTATCTCTCTTTTGCTATTTGCCATTTTGTAATAGATACTTTTATATCTACCTTTCTCTTTTTTTCCCCTCAGAATTTCTTTCTCTTTCCCTCGAATTCTTTCTCTTCTCTGCAGTATATCCTCTTCTTTCAGCAATTCATATTTATAGAGGAAGATGGGGGAACAAGTTAAGGCCAAGTGGATATGGGGAGGCGTGGGCAACAATTGAAATCAGATGTACAACATGGTTAAGAGGACCCACTCTCAATTATTTGCTCACGAATCTCACGATTTGCAAATTGAAATCACATGTACAACATGATTGACAGAAGAGCAAATTGAAATCACATGTATAACATGATTATCAGAAGAGAGGACCCACACTCAGTTATTTGCACTCACAATTTTCACAATCCCCCACATGAGCGAAAATTAAATATATATATGCACGTATGTAGACTCTTGTGCTCAATCCTCACTAAACTTCTATTGCATCAGAAAAGATAGCTCGTGGCTTTGAACCTTTCTTAGTAAACAACATCGGATGTAATCGCGGCCTAGTAGACATAATGCCTTGAACTATTCCTCCATAGTGTACAACAAGACAATGACATTCACACAATAGAGTCTTGACTCCATTTCGTTCTAACGTTGTGTCCGTTTTGGCCATGGACAACACAATGGATTCATAAGTGCTTACAATTGAAGTGGCCCACACTTCACACTTATATAGGTACCTATCAAGAGTATCTTGTCTTACTTCACCTTTACAACGTTAGGGATTCATTAAAAGTCTAGATGACTTACCCTTACCACAATTAATAGGTCATCCTACACTTGGAGTGCTCTAGGGAATAGCTTTGGACATTATTTATGTTCCAAGTGCTCAGCTGAATTTTCATAGCTTAGTTTTCAGTTTGAACCAAGTTCGTGTGATCTCCACTCAGCATTGTAGGGTTACCACTATGATCATTCTTTACATTGTAGATTTTTAAGCTCATTCCCTCTAGCAATCTTCCCAATTGATCTCTATTCAACCCTTTCGTGAAAGGATCAGCCAAATTTTCCCTAGACTTCACATAATCAATGGAAATAATACCATTTGTGATCAATTGACGTACGGTATTTTGTCTACGACGAATATGTCTAGACTTACCGTTATACAAGTTGCTTTGCCCCCTACCTATAGCACTTTGGCTATCACAGTGAATCATCACAGGCGGCAAAGTCTTATCCCAACATGAAATATCGGATAAAAAATTTCTAGGCCACTCGGCTTCTTCACCAGCTTTATCTAAAGCGATGAACTCTGATTCCATCGTTGACCGAGCTATACATGCTTGTTTTGTGGATTTCCACGAAACTGCACCTCCTTCAATACATAAAACATATCCGCTAGTGGAGCGAGAATCTCTCGAATCGGATATCCAGCTTGCATCACAGTACCCTTCAAGTACGGCTGGATATCTCGAGTATTTTAGCTCGTATTCAAGGGTATACCTCAAGTACTTAAGTACCCTTCTCAAAGCATTACAGTGCTCATGACTAGGATTGCTCGTAAATCTTCTCAACTTATTCACCGGATAGGCCAAGTCTGGTCATGTACAATTCGTCAAGTACATCAGACTCCCTATTATCCGTGAATATTCCAACTGAGCCACCGGTTGACCTTTGTTGACTTCCAGTTTTATACTGAGATCAAGGGGTGTCTTACACCTAGACTGTTCACCGTCATAGGTATCAAATTTCTTGAGCACTTTCTCTACATAATGAGATTGTGACAAGACAATTCCATCTTGGAT